CTGTGGCTCCGGGACACCATGCACGCTGTGAACCCAATAGGGACGAGGCTCCTGCTCTGGCTTAGGCCCCAGGCGTGGTGGCTCCTGCAGCCCGGATGCCGGGGGCAGGCGCCGGGTTGGGGGTTGTGCACATTAATGCATGGACAGAGCTCCCCAGTGCAGGTCCCAGCTGTGCTTGGGGTGGACTCCAGCGACGCCAGGTCCCAGCTTGTCAGGCTCCTGCTGCCAAGGCCCCACGGCGCCGCGCTGGCTGGGGCTCCCGGAGCCGCTCTCGCGGGCCTGGGGGCACAATGTTCTCCCGGAGCCCTGCCCAGGAACTGCCTCGTCTCTGAGCCCATTTCCAGGGCGTTGGGACCCCGTGCGAGGGGTGTTTGTTCAGCCGGGCTTGGGCCCAGCACAGCGGCCTCCCCTTCCTCAGTGTCTGAGCTTTGGGGCTGCTTGCGAGCCGTGCTCTCAGCTGGCCCCGCTCCTGGTGCTCGAGCTGCAGGCAGGGCCTTCGGCCCCACAGATCTTTGCCCAGACTGCTCCCAAATCCCTGAGCGAGGCTGAGGCAGCCCCCACCCCACCAGGAGATCCAGAGCCAGGCCCAGGCGTGGGGGGCAACACAGCAGACCCCAGGCCCTGCCCTAGCGCTGTCAGAGCAAAGCTCACAGCACCTCCTAACTACTAGTGAACTGAGCCTCACAACCCACCGGGCTGAGCCAGGATCTCCAGCCCATTGCACAGATGGGGAAACTGAGGCACAGAGTGGGGGAAGGGGGCCAAGCTCACCCAGAAAGTGAGTGGCAGAGCCAGGAATAGAACCCTGGTCCCCCAAATTCTAGTGTCCCCCATCCCTACCCTGTGCTCTAACCATTAGAGACCCCTCCCCTCCCAGAGCTGGGAATAGAACCCAGGAGTCCTGGCTTCAAGTCCCCTGCCCACCCCCGCCTCCCAACCTCAAGAGCTGCACTTGTGGGGGGAGGATGTGACCTATCCCCTTCGTGTGCCATTCACACCCATTGACGCTGGCGCAGGGCCAGGTTAGCGCACAGGACACCCAGAGACTCCACAGGCTCGCGTTGTAACCCGGTTACCACCACGGTGCAGCCTGCCCAGAGAAGCCCCGTCAGCTCCCTGCTAGCCAGCCCTGTGCTTCCCCCCAGGGGGCAGAGCGTGTGGGGAGAATCCCTGCTGCCCCCTCACCAGCGGCATGGGTCAGAGGCCGGGACATCCCCCCGAGCCTTGTGGCCAAGGGACTCCTCGGAGAACTCAGGATTCCCGGCCTCCAGGCCCCTGCTCTACCCACTAGACCCCATTCCCTTCCTGGCACGCTCGCTGGATGGGAAATCCCCTGTAGGTCATTCGCCCCCAGTTCAGGGGTGGGCTAAGGCAGGGCCCATGTGCTAGCGCCCTGTGGGCAGAGGGGGCAGTGGGGCAGAGATAGGGACGGCAGTGGTGAGGGCATGGGCGAGCATAGCCAGCCGTCTGGTCTCCCATGTTTAAGAAGGATGAATTCAAACTGGAACAGGTACAGAGAAGGGCTACGAGGATGATCCGAGGAATGGAAAACCTGTCTTATGAAAGGAGACTCAAAGAGCTCGGCTTGTTTAGCCTAACCAAAAGAAGGCAGAGGGGAGATCTGATTGCTCTCTATACATATATCAGAGGGATAAATACCAGGGAGGGAGAGGAATTATTTAAGCTCGGTACCAATGTAGACGCAAGAACAAGTGGATATAAACTGGCCATCAGGAAGTTTAGACTTGAAATCAGACGAAGGTTTCTAACCATTAGAGGAGTGAAGTTCTGGAACAGCCTTCCAAGGGGAGCAGTGGGGGCAAAAGATATATCTGGCTTCAAGACTAAGCTTGATACGTTTATGGAGGGGATGGTATGATGGGATAGCCTCATTTTGGCAATTAAATGATCTTTGATTATTAGCAGGTAAATATGCCCAATGGCCTGTGATGGGATGTTGGATGGGGTGGGATCTGAGATACTACAGAGAATTCTTTCCTGGGTGCTGGCTGGTGAGTCTTGCCCACATGCTCAGGGTTTAGCTGATCGCCATATTTGGGGTCAGGAAGGAATTTTCCTCCAGGGCAGATTGGCAGAGTCCCTGGGGGGTTTTGCCTTCCTCTGCAGCGTGGGGCACGGGTCACTTGCTGGAGGATTCTCTGCACCTTGAAGTCTTTAAACCACGATTTGAGGACTTCAGTAGCTCAGACATAGGTTAGGGGTTTGACACAGGAGTGGGTGGGTGAGATTCTGTGGCCTGCGTTGTGCAGGAGGTCAGACTAGATGATCATAATGGTCCCTTCTGACCTTAAAGTCTGAGTCTGTCTGTCCGTCTGCTGGGGAGGGGCTGGTTTTGCTGCTCCACTCTGGAGGAGGTTAACGGACTCCAGAGTGGGAGGAAGGCAGAAAGCCAGGGACCGGGGGTGGTGTTAGGGTTAAGGTTGGACTTGGAGGAGGATGGCGGAGCAGGGAGAGCACCACAGCGTGGGAGGCCCCCAGCCCTGTCCGCCCCTTCATGCACCTGGCCAGGGCATCAGCAGTCACTGGGGAAGTCAGACCAGAGCAGGGAACTGGTCCGGGGGAAGGGCTCCTGGTTAAAGCAGATCCCTGCTCCGACCAGCCTCCATTGATCCCAGCCAGTCAGCTGCAGCGCCTGCCCCACCCAGACACCGAGACATCCTGCCCGTCGCAGGGTGAGCGAGCGGGACCCGCACACCCTCCTGGAGAAAGGTCGCCTAGGGCAGGAGGCACCCAGCTGCCAGCCGGGCTCTCTGCCAGGGTATATTTATCTGCCCTGCCCCCACACAGCAGGCCCAGGGCATTGCTGCAGTTTGTGTCTCGTTTAGGGACAAGGGACTTGGTGTCTAAGAGGGCTCTGGGTGCCAAGCAGCCATGCCTCTGAGTTGGGAATCCTCCCGCACGGGGCGACTGCCGTGTGCCGTGCCCTGCGCCTGGAAACAAGGGAATCGCACGGGACGGACACACCTAGGGCAGCGCGGAGGCAAAGTCCAGGCACCCATGTGCTCTCCTCCCTAGGAGTATGGTGTGACGGAGCAGGGAGCGGGGCGGGGTAATCAGTAATGAGAACCAGCATGAACAACAGACCTCCCCCCTCCTCCAGCCCACACCTCTCATCCCCCTTAGGGCCTAGACTCCACCATGCGTCGGCCTCGCTGAATGCCCAAAACGTCCATTGCTGGGACATCGAGGCACGAAGGGACTGATTTGCAAAGATGCTCAGTGGCCTTAAGCAACCTGGCCCTCCCCTTCCAGGAGAGAGAGAGCTCAGAAACCCCCTTCCAACCCTGATATTCTATGATTGATTCCTGGGGGAACCGGAAATGAAAACTGACTAGAGACTGATTCTGAACACTGTGAAACTGACTCGTCTACTTCAAAAAATGAGATCACCCTGAAAACAGCACAGTCCTAGGGCTCCGCTGTCAGCACAAGGCAGGACAGGATTGGGGTTTATTTAACCCTTTGTAGGCATTATACAGCATCATCCCCCTAGCCCAGGGGTCGGCAACCTTTCAGAAGTGGGTTGCCGAGTCTTCATTTATTCACTCTGATTGAAGGTTTCGTGTGCCAGTCATACAGTTAAACGTTTTTAGAAGGTCTCTGTCTATAAGTCTATAATACATAACTAAACTAAAGTAAATAAGGTTTTTAAAATGTTTAAGAAGCTTCATTTAAAATTAAAACGCAGAGCCCCCCGGACTGGTGGCCAGGACCCGGGCAGTGTGAGTGCCACTGACAATCAGCGCGCGTGCCACCTTCGGCACATGTGCCATAGGTTGCCTACCCCGGTCTAGCCTCTGAGCATCGATGAATATTAACAGAGCTGGCAGGACGTTATATTTGTGCCTAATCCTGTCCCTTACAGAGAACTGCACTTGTGCAAAAGCACCATGACATTGTCTAATGCCAGTTCATATTCGGTCTGTAGGCCCAGCCTCATCCAGTGCACAGGTGGGACACACGAGGGGACCGAATCACGACTGCCTGGGCAGCTGCTTATCTGCCATCTCATTTTCGAGTGCTTGACCTTGACAGCTACCGCATGTGCTTTTCAGGTCAGCTTTGTGCACGTGTGTTTTTAAACATGATGCCGTCCTTGAGGTGGCAGCTGAGGGGGCAGGGTTGAGAACGCAGGCGGGTTAACGCCTCTGCATTGCCTGTGTGATAAAAACGAGAGGAAACGGACGCAGCAGCCGGGTGCCTCCTTGCAGGAGGGCAGGCCATTGGTTCGTCTCTTAGTTAGCTGGTGCGAGCTGAGTCCCCCAAATGCCTTGCCAGGGACCCATTAGCACCGAGAGATCAAGACAGGCCCAGAAGAGCAGAGACTACAAGGCAGCTCTCTGGCCTCCCAGAGCTGCCCCCATGAGCCCAGCCTCCTGCTCTCCAGCGCGAACTGACCAGCGAGCACCTCGGCTGTCTCGGGCTGAAGGAAAGAATCGTTTTGCGTTGAAGCAGATTCGTGTGCAAGAGATCTGGGTGCAGCACGGGCTGCACTCCTAGGCTGGCAGGGAGGGGGCTGCAGTTTGAATCCCCCCAGGCCGAGCAGCCTCAGCCTGCGTACCGAGTGCTGGTTGGGCCCCGGGAGGAGGTCCGGCGTGGCCCAAGAGCCGCTGCCCTTCCCTAAGCAGCAGGCTGAGAGAAACTGGACAGGCCGCAGCCAGGCTGGGCTCCAGGGCACAGACTGGGACAGCGTTTCTAGCTCTTCCGCCCAGAGCAGCACATCAGAGCCACCCTTTGCTCCCAGCAGCTCTCCGCTGTTCCTGCTCTGCCCCCAGGCTCCAGCAGAGATCACCAGCCCTGCAGAGCTCAGCTCCCACCCTGACTTCACGGCCGGATAGCCCTGCACACCCAGAGGAGGGCAGCTTCCAGGGGCACACACCCCGTGAGCACCCCAGTTATGGCTGGATTCCCAGTACACAGGATGAGCAGCTTCCCCTTGCAACAAAGGCCCAGACACCAGGGTGAATGAAATGCCCCCTCTTTATTAAATGGCTCTATAGCTGTACAGCGAGGGGCGCGAGCTCGGTTAGCCAGCACATTCCCAAAGAGCTCCGCGCCCACACACCCCCCGCTGGTGTCACAAGCGGAACAGGAGGGGGAGGGCAGCTTGCCATGCACACGGGCACACAGGAGACAGACAGACACAAGCACAGCACGTGGCAAGGTTCTCCGGCTGCTCCAGGCCTCGCCTCCCTGCCCCTGCCTCTAGGAGCCGCAGCCTGGAGCAGCTGCCAGCCACCCCTTCAGAAAGGCCCAGCGTTGCTCAGAGCTCTCACCTGGGGGCTGCGGCTCAGGCTTGGAGACGCTCTGTGATAAGAAGAGGAGCTCCAGGCTGAGTGCATCCCCCCAGAGAGCCTTGGCGGCAGGGGGACAAGCGCTGCCCAGCCAGTTTGTACAGAGCACAGCCGAGGGCCGTCACCCAGCTACTAATGCAGAGGTGCGACCCACAGAGACTACATTTCCCAGCATGTAGCCCCAGCCACACAGGCCTGAGACAGAACTAACTGCCCGCTGGGCCCTGCCATCTCACAGGGCTGTGCTCTGGCCATGCCTGGCTCCTGCTGCGAAGGGAGCCTGAGGTCTGTCTCTTCTAGGCCCCAGGGCAGAGAGGGGCCGGCCTGGCGCTGGTTTGCTGGAGCCTTGCCCTGTTTCAAAGGCCACTGAAGCACTTTGTCCCTCATCAAACCTGTAAAGCACCAATAGGCTGGGCTAGTAAAGCTCAGGGCTTGCACCACGGAGAGGCAGGGGGTCCCAAGCCCCTTCAGGAGAACCGAGCGGGGGCATTAACGGAACAGCCAGCAGAGCCCCCCCGCCGGAATAGTCAGTGCTCTGCCCAACAGGCAGGATGCCAGAGTGGCCCAGGCCGCAGGGGAGCCGGCTCAGCCCTGCTTTAGTCAGCCAAGAGCTCCGCCCCCCCATCACACAGGAAGCCAGTGGCAGAGCTGGGGAGAGACCCACAGGTCCTGCCCCCCAGGGGTACAGTGCAGAGCACCATGGGGCCGACCCCTAGCACTGGCTCTGGCAAGGAGCGTGGCGGTCAGGCTCTTAGGAGGTGCTCAGCGCTGTGGGAGCAGGGGCCCCGGCCTGAGGCCTACAGGAGCGGGGCTGGGGGGGCCATTGTCAGTTGTGTATGCAGGGAGGAGGGGTTAGCAGTCAGCCTGGCCTCTGGGAGCTGCCGCTGTCACTCAATAACCTAGCAGAGCTGTACTCTGATTGGCGGAAGCCACCCACTCCCCGTGCTGTGACTGGCCATCCCGGTGTTAATGATTTATAAGGCGGGAGGCACAGCCTGTCCCATGCTAGGGGCCCAGGCCAGACTTCCCCATCGCAGCAGGGAGGGGGGAAAGGGGGAACAAAGCTACTTTAGTCACCCGATTCTTTCCTTTGTGTTGACTGGGGGCCGGGGCAGAGGAGTGGGCCTGTCCCCCCTGCTCTGCCGGCCAAGGGGAGGCTGCTGGAGGGGGCCTTGGTGTAGCTCCCAGTATGAGAAGCAGCCCGCGGGGCGGCAGGCTCAGCAGAGGCCCTGGAGACGGAGCTCCCCTCTAACCCCGAGACAGCAGGGCTTTGGCACGCCGGGAGGGGGCAGTGGGGGGGCTCACTCTGCTGCTGCCCAGGCTGTCTGCGCTCTGAAGCTAGAGGGGTTGAGGCGCCAGGGCCCACGGCCAATAGCAGCAAGTGGGGTGTGGGATCACTTGGGGGGAGCACTGTGCCAGGAGCAGTGGCACCCCCCGCACCACAGACAGGACAGTTCGGGGCCAGAACACACGGAGCTGCACGGGCTTTGGGGGAGGGTGCAGCCTTGTAAAGGCTCCAGCAGGGATCGGACTCCAGCTCGCTCCTCCTCAGGGGAACCCAACTCTCCACCCTTGGTACAAAAATAGATTCTGATGCGTCCCTCCCCCCGCGGGAACCCGGGCCCGGCTGGGCCGGCTGCAGCTTGAAGGAGGGTCTTTATTTGGACTGTGGAAGAGGCGTCGCTGGCTTTGCTCAGGGACTCCACAGTAGCTTCTCCCGCCGGCAGCCGGAACCCGCGGAGCTCTCCCCTGCCAGCCGCGGGTCGCTGGCCTCGCGCAGGCTCTGCGGTGCTCCGTGCAGTTCTCGGCCGATTCCCTCCAACACGGACAACACATATGCGGACACGGATACACGTATGTACTCACACACGCATTCACCCAACATGAGTACGAGTCAGAGTGATGTTGGCTTGACACACGTCTGTACAGAAGCTTCCACTGCAAGGCGTTGACGTGGTGGTTCTGTCCCTTCGGCATGAACGCCAGCACTAGGCACCTCTGCCCGCCCCACCTCTGCGGGACAGGGGAGGGGGCCGGGACCCTGGGTCCTGCTGCTCAGGCTGCTCCAGAGTCCGGAATCCCACGAGATCCTCAGCCCCCAGAGCTACACCTGGAGGAGAGAGCCATGCCGTTACCTGGGAACGGCCCGGGCCCGTGGCCATCCACCCCCGTGCCCTGCCTCCGACAGGGGCCAGGACCAGGTGGCTTCAGAGGGAATGAACAGAACAGGGCAATTATCAAATGATCCAGCCTGTCGCCCAGTCCCAGCTTCTGGCAATCAGAGGCCAGGGATACGCAGAGCAGGGGGTTGCATCCCTGCCCATCCTGGCTAATAGCCATTGCTGGACCTATCCAGTTCTTTTTTGAACCCAGTTATACTTTAGGCCTTCACAACATCCCCTGGCAAGGAGTTCCACAGGTTGTCTGTGCATTGACTGAAGAAGTACTTCCTTTTGTTTGTTTTAAACGTGCTGCCTGTTAATGTCACTGGGTGACCCCGGGGTCTAGTGTTATGGGAAGGGATAAACAACACTTCCCTGGTCACTTTCTCCACACCAGTCACGATTTTATAAACCTCTACCAGAGGCACCCTTAGTCAGCTCTTTTCCAAGCTGAAAAGTCCCCGCCTTTTTAATCTCTCCTGGGGAGGGAGTTGCAGGCCAGCAGCCCCAGCCCACCCCATCAGGGCAGCACTCACTAATGCCCTGCTCACACCACTCCCCCCAGCAGAGCCGGGCGCCTGGGCCGTACCTTGTGTATCTGAGGCGGAAGCTCATCCTCCGAGCTCTCCTCTGGAACCGGCTCCGGGTGTCGGGCCGACTGTCCGTCCTCAGCCCAGCCCCCTAGAGGCAGGCGGGAGAAGTGCGACGGGGCTCTGTGCACTGTGCCCGGATCTGTGGCATGGGCACAGAAGTCAGCAGAACGTGTAGATGCGGGTGAAGCAGGCTCTGGTGCCAGCTCCCAGCAGGGCACCACTCAGGGGGCTCTAGGCCAATCTGTCTAACCCCTCAAGTGAGAGGGAGGGGCTGTTACTGGGTGGGAGCCTGTGCAGCCTTCCCCAGCCGACAGCTCCCCTGGAGGGGCTCCTCCCCACAGCATGCAGGGTGACATGGGAACATCACAGCGGGAGCCCACACACTGCCAGCCATGGATGAGCAGGGCTCCCAGGCGCCTCCTGCAGGCGCTACCGCGCAGTGACACCTGCCAGCCGCCAGCCCCAGCTGATCGCCTGGCATGTGGGGGGGAATCTCAAATGCTTCACTGGCGTTTAAACGATTACCCAGCGACCCGATGATGACAAACCAGCGTGTGGATCCACGGCACGTTCCAAAGGCAGTGCCCCCTGGCCAGGGGGACAGGGAATGTGTGAGGAGGCTCCCAGGCTCCATCTGGAGTGGGGATCCCTGTCTGGAGGGGAGTCCCACAGCACGAGGCTGCCCCAGCACATACCTGTGATGCCGCCGTATCGGCGCTGGAAGCCCGTCTGCAGGGTGGCCAACTCCTCCACAGCCTGGCGCGGCGAGGAGAAGGGGTAGCTGGCAGAGCGGGGGATGGCGGCGGGGGCGCCCTTCTGAGCATCCGGCTCCTCTGGGGCACTCTCCCCGCTCTCGTCGCTCTCCCGCCGGTGCCACACATGCCGCTCGGGCTCTGTCTGCGTGTGCTGCTTGTGCAACTGCGCACAACACAATGGGGCGGGTCAGACAAGCAGGGAGGGGGGACAGAGCCACAGCCCCACCCCACATGCAGCCTGCAGGAGCCCCCGTGGCAGCCCCACAGTAGTTCAGGCTCCTTCCCTCTCCCCCTGCACTGCCAGCTCCCGGCACCGCTGCTCCCTCTGCGACTCCAATGCAGGATGGGGGCTGTTCTGCATCAGGCCCTCCTGCGCTCTGAGGTGGCATGCAGGGACCTGCAGAGACAGCCAGCACCGGGGAGCGCTGCAGGGGAAGGATATGGGCCTGGCTGCCTTTGCGGGACCTCCTTTACCCCCTGGGTACAGCACACCTCTCTCCAGCTGCCAGGCTGCCCTGCGCCCCCAATGCTGCCCCCCACACGAGCTGCTCTCTCTCCCCCTGGCCCAGGGCGCAGGCCGCTCACCTCGTGCATGTAGAGTGCGTGCAGGCTCATCTCGGTGGAGGCGTATTCCGACAGGATCAGGCTCTGTAACTGGCCCTCCCAGGCGCTGCTCCCGGAGCTCGCTGTTCTGGCATCTGTGCTGCAGCCGGGACACAGAGAAGGGCTGGGGGAGGGGGTCTGCTGCCCAGGGGCGTGGCCCTAGCAGGCCCCACATCGGATCCACACAGCCCTTCTCGATCCCCTGCCCAGCCCCACTGCACTGCTGGGCTATGGGGTGTCCCATGGTGCCACCTCACCCACTCCCTGCCCTGGGTTTAGAAAGGGCCCCTCTGCACCCTGGATACGTGCAGACTCTGCCCAGACACGTGGGCTTTGCTCAGTGGGGTCCAGCCCCAACACAGGCACCCCCAAGGGCCACAGATCCCCATCACAGGGGGGCAGAAGCGCTCCAGCGCCCCCTCCTGGGGCGGAGCAGTCACTTACGGAGTCAACCCTCGGGGGCAATTCTTGTTCTAGCCATCTGTGTAACCTGCTCCATTGCAGGGGAGGGCTCAGAGCAGCCCCTGCAGGGACTCCTCCCGGCATGTGGGCGAGGAACGGAGTGCAGAGCGTGCCAGCAGGGGGCGCTGTGAGCTGCTCCCAGCAGCAGCACAGGCCCAGTGAACCAGGGGAGCAATCCCTTCGGTCTCAGGCACACGAGGGGCACCCAGCACCTCAGGAGCAGGGCCTGGGCTTTGCAGCTCAGCAGACTCTTACCCAGAAGCCGTCATGGTGCTGTGGGCCCGGGGCGGTGCCCCCTCCACGTGGGACCCGGATGTCTGGAAGCCGCTGTGAGTTTGCTGGGCAGACTGGAGCGGGGAGAAGGAGCGCAGGGCAGAGGCCACCTCGGAGAGCTGGCGGGAGGCCTGCAACTCATGGCTCACGTACCCCAGGGCCGAGGAGCCCGCGATCGCATTGGCAATCAGGCTGTGAGGCTGCAATGGGAAGTGAGGGGAGTCACAGCCCTGGACAGGCAGCCACCAGACAACAGGCCAGGGCCCCTCCCCAACCCAGCTCCTCGAGGGAACTCCAGATCCTATCGCCCCCCATGCCGCAGGGCAGAACCCCAGAACACCCCACTCCACACACCCTTGGAGACGGGCCCAGCCCTCCCTGGAAACCCAAGCCCAGTTCAGACCCAGCACACTCACTGCCCCGGCCGCCTGAGCCAGCCCCGCTGGGCTAGCTAGACAATGCAGGGCAGCTGCAAGACCCCTACCCTCCAGGCAGCCTTGGAGCACCAGAGCCCCTTCCTCTCCCGCCCACCCGCGACCTGCCGCAGCTGGGGCACCTCGGACTCCGACTGCAGGGACTGGATGGAGGTGAAGAGGGCGTTGTCAGGCAGCACGGCCTGCTGGGCCAGCGCCACGCTGCTGTCGCGCAGCACGCGCTCCTTGAGGAAGCCGATGAAGGCCGTGCTCTCGCGGGGCGGCTGCCACCTGGGGTTGGTGATGGCGAAGTGCATGAGGGACAGCTCCGTCTTGCCATCCTCGGCCTGCTGGTAGATGGAGGCCTCAGTCTTCCCCGCTGACATCCACTGCAAAGCACACAGGTGAGGTGAGGGGGGCCACTCCAAACCCATCCTTGGACCCCCCCCCGGGGCCTGCCATACACCCACCGGGGGGTCTGGGGAGCCCCAAAGGCCAGGCCGCACAAAACCCACCAACGCCAAAAAGCCAAGAACCCCCCAGCAGCTGGCCTGGGACATTGCTCGCTGGAGCAGACACGCCATAGCCAAGCATGCCCAGCTCCAGGGCCTTCCAACGCCCGGGGTAGCATCACATGCCCCACTCCAGGGCACGAGCCCTCACCTGGGCAGCTGGGCTCATGCACCCATTGAACGGGACACCCCACGGAGCGTGCCCAGATGTCAGATACGAGATTGCAACAACACAGCCCACTAAGACTACAGGCCCCAGCATGCAACGCTTCAGCTTGATTGGCGCAGCCTGGCCACAATGCATTCTGGGACTGGCAGCCGCAGCAGAGGGTGTAAGATCTCTCTCAGTACGGGCTGCTTGGCAGAACTCCGTGGGGGACGTCAGCCCACGCCTCGGTTCCAGCCACAGGCAGGACCCCCCCAAGTGCGGGGGGAGGGGGAAGGGACTGCGCCAGCACACGCCCATGCCGCAGGCAGGCCCTACCGCTGGGTGCCCGTGCTGGCGCACGTCCATCTGCGCGAAGGAGCAGGTGTCGCCCACGCCCACCACCTCCACGGTGAAGTTCCGGAAGAAGTCGATGATCTCCAGGGACTTGGGCCGCAGGCAGAAGATGAGGATCAAGGGGGTAACGATGGGGCTGAGGAGCTCCTCCAGGATGAACACCTGGGAAGGGAGAGGGGGGCGCTCAGCAGGCAGCCCCGAGAGCAGCCCGAGGGGGCTGCTGCACCACAACTGAGAGGGGCCACCCAGGGAACGTTCCCGGAACAGCAGCCCCATGTCAGTATCGCCCCCACAGTGCTCTGCCCCCAGCTGACCAAAGATCCTCCCCCGCCCCCCCCACGTCCCTTGCTCTGGGGAACCACAGGAGCTGCTGAGCCATCACACACATGGCCCAGGGGAGTGAGGCACACGCAGGTCCCCAGTCCAGCCCCTTCCCATGCACAAGCCGCCCTCTGGGCATCGCAGTCTGACAGACAGTGGCCCTGAGGTGGCACCCATGTGTCAGAGACACCCCCCCCCCCCCCCCGCCCCGCGAGTACCCCTAGCTGAGCAGAGGAGTGCAGGAGTCAGTCCAATCCCGCTCCGGTTCCAAGCTAGCCAGAGGGGCCGGGCTCACCGCTTTGTACTGGAAGAGCTGAGAAAACTCGTCCCGGGTCTCGTAGCGGTGGGCGTTGGCCTGCCAGTGGTCAGGCATGTAGTGGATGTGCGCCAGGATCACCCGCAGCAGCTGCTCTGGGCAGAACACCAGGTGCTGGTCTGGGATGAAGGACCTGCAGGGGGG